AAAAAGACACAAGCGAACCCAGAAAAAAAGACAGAAGTGATCGGGCACCCCATTATTTAAGGTCTATTCCTTAATAAAGGGGTATTGGAGTCTCTGGGCAATGATTCCCGATCTCTTCGGCCTACGAGCCTTTTAGGGCGGACCGTACGTCTCTTTGATCCTAAAAATGTCGGATCCTTCTTCTAAGGATACCATAATCCCTAAACCCCTAAACCCCTAAACCCTACAGCCCTAAACCCTACACCCCTACGCCCCTAAACCCTGCACCCCCTAAACCTCTAAACCCTAAACCCTCCCCTGCAAGAAACCCCAGGAAGCCAGCGAGATGTCGAAGCTCCTGGTGCGCCCGGGGCCTTGGAGTGCTGGTCGAGACTCTGCGGTCTTTCTGGGCTCATGTGAAAGAACTTAACTCAAGGTACCATACTAGGGATCTATGAAATATAAATATTAGGGGGGAGTCTATAGTAAATAAATAAGAGAGTTTCGTTGATAACTGAGACTACATCCACTAGCAAGAACCCAGTGTTTCTGGGTGGAGGGCGGTGGGGCCTTCTTGTTCCCAGCTCCAGGGCTGACTTGACCAGAATTTCTGCTGCAGCTCCATGAGGAGTCCTTTCTGGAATGCTTCGCAGCCTCTTGGGAGTCTTTTTTGGGGGGCTGAGACGTTTCGGTTTCGAGTGGAATGAAGGCCGAGGAGGATCTTGCGTAGTATGAATTCCTCCAGCGACCTCCCCTTCCCCCAAAGCGTGAATACCCGCCATCAATCAGCGGGCAAGACCTGACGAGGTGTCCACAGATATCGGGTCTCTTGCTTGGGGGTAGCTCGAAAAATACGCCAAGAGCCCTCCTGTGAAGCTGTTGGACTTCAAACCTTCCGTGGCCCTCTTCTCGACAACACCAGAGCGGCCGTTAAAAAAACAACGCGGCAGAGCTGGGAGACACCTGGCACTGAGGCTACGGCGCCTCGCCGGAGCTCCTAGGCCCTTTGTTTATGAAAGACCCGGACAGCTGAGGGCTTCATGGGGGCGTTGTGGCTTCAGCAAAGGGCCTATACCTAGAGCTTATTCAGGGGCGTGGAGCCTCGATTTCTCGTCTCAGTGCTTCCAAGATGAAGATAACTCTTCAGCGAGTGGACCCTTACGATTTGGATCTGTCTCAAGGATTCGCCTCTTCTGCTTCCATGCTCTGGGTTCCTTAAAACCGAGGCTCAGGGTTGAAGGCTTGCCAGCAACCCGGCAAAAGAAGCCAAAATCGTAGGTAACATCTTCTTTGGGGGGTGCCTTTGGTTGGTTTTGAAAGGTAAGCGCATGTGTGCTCCGGTGGACTTGCACTAGTTGGGGGTGCGCCACACTCCCGGTGCTGTCATTCAATGTTGACTTACAGCGTAACAGCGACGAAAGGAGTTAAAATCCCAAATCCAGCTTCCATCCCAAAGCCTTACAAACCCAAAGCCCCTTATAGAACCCCTTTTGTCGAACCCTGAAAGAGCCCTTCCTTCCTAAACCCCTTATAGAACCCCTTATAGTAGTACCCTAAAAGAGCCCTTCCTTCCTTCCTTCCTTCCTTCGTTCCTTCCTTCCTTCCTTCCTTCCTTCCTTCCTTCCTTCCTTCCTTTTCCTTCCTTCAATCCGGGCGCCAGGCGAAGAGTCCGAGCTTTGCTCACAGCTCGCCTCGCGGGGTCGGCGCGTCGGCCGGGAGCTCAAGGGGGAATACCCCTTAATTAAGGAATATACGTTCCTCAAGGGGTTCCTTTAAGGGTTCTATAGGGATCTATAGGGTTTAGGGTAAGGAATATACTTTAAATTATAGTAGGATCCCTAATGTGATTTCGGGTATATTCCTTAATTAAGGGGTATTGGAGTCTCTGGGGAGGTCCTTTGGTCTAAGGTTGGAAGTATGGGCCCCTAAAAGGGACCCTTTAGACCTTTCTAGGGACCCTTAAGGGTACATATAGTGTATATAGGAGGTATGTGAGGATCCCACCCTCAAGGGCCCATACTAGGGGCATTGCTTCAACCTTGGATTTGGGCTCTGGGGAGTACTGTATAAGGGGATACCATTCATAAGGGTTCTAGTGGGTCTATAAAGAAATGGGATACCATTTACGGGGGTTCTGTTGGGTCTGTAAAGAAACGGAATACCATGATAGGGGTTCGGGGTTAGAGCTTTACGGGGCCATCTAAGGGATTTCCTTTTTTCATTTGGGCTCTGGGGTCTGTTCGAGGAGGGGATAGATCCATTTAGAGGGGTTCTATTCGGGTTTAGGGTTTTTGGCTTTAAGACGTTCCTTGCCAAACCCTGGGAGGGTCTAGAAAGTAGATCCCTGAGGACGCTTTTTTGGAAACCGCCTTTAGGGATCTACCTTCTGGATCCTCTCAGGGGTCTGGGATTGTACCAAGCACTTGAGAAGAAATGCATAAAAATAAATGATCATGTCAGGTACTGGCAGGGCGACTGGAGGCCATGAAATGAAAATATGGACGAGGAGAGGAATTGTAGCCTGCTCGTTTCCCTTCAACTATACTCGTAGCTGAGGCACGAAGCTGTCGAAGATCTTGGGCGCAAACACTCAGCTGCTTGCAGCCGCAGAGGCACGGGGCCGGAGGACTGAGCAGGTCATTTTGCCATGAGTGCTACTGTTGATGGACAAAATCCTGCATTACCCATTATAAGGAATATACCATAATTCCCATAGTTTAAGGTCCTTAAGGTCATGCAGGATTTTGTCCATCAACAGTATCTTGGTCAAAGTAGTGCGAAGTACTCGGCAGAAGAAGTCGAAAGCGGGGAGAGCTCCTTGAGCCCGAAACCTTGCAAGGAACCCAACGCCGCGACGGAAATAGTCTCCAGTGTACTGCCAACGATGTACTACTGAAGCTTCTGGCTGAGCCCTAGGCCCGATATCCCTCGATACGCAAAATTGCCCTGGAGAATTTTACCTTCTGGGTCTTTAGCAGAGGTCCTCGGCCCTCGAATTGGAACTCAAGGTAGCTGCTGCAAAACACCCTCCAAGGGAATCGGTGACTAAATTCCAAGATGTATCCAGGGTAGGGGGAGAGAGAGAGAGAGACAGGCAAATCTATTATTATTACTGCCCCTACCACGTCGAGTACCACTACCACTACCCCCACTATCACTACCGCTACCACTACCACTACCATTACCACGAC